TCACAGCAGCATGCTGAGGTCGTTGAGGTTTCTTTAATCCAAGGGATGCAGGAGGAAGTGAGCAGACGTGCTGCACACAGCGAGAGTCATACAGAGGAGACAATTAGTGGCTGCAGTAGCATTTGACAGCTGCTGCAGAGAATCGGCAGCACCCTCAGACACGTGATCTGGCTTCATGCTGCCAGTCAGGATGGCCCTACAAGTTTAAAACCAGCATGAACTATGTAAGCCCCACAACGTCTGCATTAGGAATCTCCACATTAGAGTGGAAGTGAATGACAAAACTGTGTCCACGCTCACTGTGCATCTGTTAGCGAAATCATGAAAACTCCTGCAGACAGGAATACGAAAACAAGCAGATATATAGAGAAAAAATTCAGTGCTCGTCATCAGCTCTGGTTGGTTTGTGCGTCATCTTACATCATTGTGAATCTTCATATGACTGAAACCCAGTCAGCCATCTATCCTCAACTGCCACATATGGATGACTTCCATAGATAGACTAGAACTGACACAAAGGTTTTGCTGAATGTCATAAAAACATCATATTGTCTGAGATAAACACTACAATTGACAGCGCTAGCATGCTTCCTTGTCACTTTTATGTCCCTGAGAAAAATGGCTTCCAGTTTATATGTGCAGCCACAGCAGCATGTTCTATGTCAGTTTGTGACGTGTTATTCCCTTTATGTAGTAAGGTGATGTAGGGATGTGGAGGTGGGGATTGTGGTTTAGATTACGATACCTTACAAATAATTTATTCACCTTTTTGTTTTCTGCAACAACAGTCTTTACCTGCCCTTTGTCATGTGTTTTAGTCTTCGAACCACCACTTTCTGACTGCTTGTTTGACCTAATTTTAGCTAAGTAGGATAGAAAAGATTTCCTTACCTGAACAAAGTTATTATAAGGTTTACTTAACTCCAAGTAAAGAGTAATAGCTCTTTTGGAGCACACCCAAACAAACCGTTAAGAGTCCCTATTCTGCTTTTTGAGGTTTCTCCCCTTCCTTTCGTGTTTTGTATAGTTCATATTGGTTTTTTGTACATTTAAAGGACTGAAAACTTTGAAAATCTAAAGTCCACACTCAATAGACTTATTCTCTCCCACAAAAAACACAGCTCCCTACCAAAGTCTAGTCTTTTCTTGCGTTAGTTATCACTGTGTGAAACGTTTGTTGAACACCTGCCAAGCAGCCAGTTTGGTACGGTTTTGTTGGGCCAGCTGACCAATCAGAGGAGGCTGAGCTTGTCAGGAGGTCTTAAAGAGACAGGAGCTAGAACAAGGTGTTTCAAAATGATGCAAATGTGCAGGATGTGGGCTCTTTAACCAGACAATAGTTTCCCATCTGCATTGTAGAAAGTAGGATTTGTAAAGAATGTTGTCATTTAATGTAATTCACATTTTTCTGGCATTCTTCTCTGATTCTCAATAAGAATAAAGTCGCTGAATGTGAGTGTAACAACAATCACAGTAGCTGCAGCAACACTGAACATTTAGATGTTGCAAATATTTCCTGATGACTGCAGCTCATTTTAATCCATGGCAGCAGACTGACTTCAAAGATGTGTTTAGTCTGCTGTGGGATTCTGTTGTCTGCTACATACTTCTTTTGTTCTTCTTCTACACTACACAGGCTGTGGCTTTGAGGTTTATTGACGTTTTCCCTCCGAAGCTCGAAGCTTGATTCTGGAAGCTTGCTGGTTTTATAAAAGGTTAAACGATTCTAATTAGTCTAAAGTGCACAGTGCACGCACCAAGTTTTTCTTTGCATGCTGTGCTGGGGGATACTTCAACACCACAGCTTGCTGCTTTAATGCTCTTCTCTCGATGTCTTCATCTCTCAGAGTATTTTAACCTTTGCTTTCTGTGTCTGCATTGAATTCCATTAATATTTACACAACCTCGTGCTCATTTTTATTGAAGTCAAATCTGTCTTCTTTTACGCCTCCCTCTGTAGCTGACCAAGCATTCTCTTCATAAGCTCATTTCGATATGCTGCAAAGCAGAAAGTGTGAGCTCTAAATCCTGCTCCCAGCATTCTCTTGGGGCTCCATGTGACAAGCTTTGATGTGAATAACCTGCAAAGATAGCTTGTGACCTTCACTTTTCCTTGGAACTTCTCCAGGCCTGTATCTACCTTGTCAGGTCAAACTTCTGAAGAGAAACTACCAGATTGTGTATGCACAAACTGGTTTTATCACAAGCCGGCATGTTGGGTGTTCAGACTCTTAATATGATGATCCAGCTAAGTGAATCATTTTCTCTCACCCAAAAAAGGGATCTTTTCCCAAATGGTTTCCAGAGTGTATAATTATTCCAAAACACTGGTTTGGTGTTTTAGTGTGTACACTTTTAGTGTGTTTCAGTGGATAAACAGAAACTTTGAACCCTAACTGTAGTTTTATATCTGTATTTATGTTGCTTTTGTCACACAACGTTGCTTAAAATAGTGTTTGATCAGCTGTGCTGTGTGTGTCACTCCTTACTGCGATGTGAAGAGGACGTTTAGCGTTTTTCTTGTTGTTTATTTCTTAAATGCAGGCAGAAGTCTCCAGTCGAACAACTTGAAACCACTAGTGTGGACACAGGTTGTTTAAATCTGATGGCTTACTGTTGTCCTAAAGATTCACCCTCATCTGTGCTTTTCTGTTGAACCCTTTGAATTGTTAAGTGCAGTTATTTATTTCTCCAAATGACCTGGACAAGGTCAAAAACAAAGCACAACATGTTATTTTTCAGCACTTACTAACTACAGCTGACAGTTTGGCTCTTCTCTGCTGTTGGTGTAACTGCTTTCATTGCTTCCACTTCAGAAGATGCCTGAAATGCTCAGAGCACTCTTACACTTTACTAAAATTTCACCTGCTGTCATTGCTTTCGGCACATCTACTTTAATTGAACGTGAAGCTCATTTCTTCTCATTAAAGATTCACAGATTGGGTCTGACAACATCCTTATGCACACGGTTTAGAGACCCACTCCTGATCACACGTGACACATCTCAGTGCGATATATGTGTGATGTTCTGGTTATTTTACACTGAAGTAGGCAAGTTTAATTGTTAGACCTTTTTTCTATCGATTGCTGTTTAATACAAATGGACCCCACGTCTGACTCAATGAGAGTCTAGTCAGCTCATCTGTGCACAATTAAAAATGAAACTCACATTTTCCCCATTAATGACCTGTTATTTCACTCGAACGGAACCCATCACCAGCACTGATGCGAACACTGAGGTCTAGTCCACATGTACACAAGTATTTTTTACAACGGGTTTTATCCTGCTTCATTTTCAAAAAACATTTCTCTCCACATGAAAATGTAAAAACATGACTGTGACTGAGGCAGCGTCAAGGACCAACAAGCTATCAACATGGGTGCATCAAGGAAATCATGCGTGGACTGATTCTGATGCCTCTCTTCATCACTATAGTAGACAGGTCACTGTACATTTATGTGAAAACATGTAAAAAAAAAAAAAAAAGTTATCAAGGCTAACACCAGCAGTATTTTGGCCACATCACTATTGCACAAAAACGCCTGGTATTAACAAAAGAGATTTCCACTGTGTCGACATGTCAACAAGGTAAACAAAGTTTCTTAAGATCTTCATCCTATACAAAGTTTTCCAAAAGCTTGGTTTTAAAGAAACTGAGCCGGCATCTGTGTGGGGGGAGGCCTAAAAATAGCAAATAATTTTTCCAGGATTGAGAAATTAACCCAACATGGAAGTGCCAAAAACTGCAGTTTCTTAAAAAACGACTTGAAGCTGACTCCAAAAGTGAGCCAATCCCCATAGAATCCCGTTGTTAAAATGTCAAAATTCACTGCAGAAATGATCATGTTTACAGCCTGGTACAAAAGCAGTCTTGGTCTCGATAGCTATTTTCCCTGTTCATTAAAACTGTACAAGGGGTGAATTGTTACATAACTTACTCATTTAAACTGTGGTGAGGCTTAAAGTGATGCATAATTAAGGGCAAGATGTTTTGAGTGGAAGGTGGGTGACATAACAGGACAGTCCATGGACCAGAAGCAGATGTCTGGATTTAGAAATGAAAATAAGTAAACTTTTGGTTTTTCAAAACCTGTCATCAACGTCATGGTTCTGTGTGAGGTTTGCCACGACATTATCAGCGTTTGAACTTATGTTGCTCATAATGTTCTGTTTTGACATTTGTTATTTTTTCTTTTTATACCAGGATTGTTCAAAACTTTGAAGCATTCTGTGTTTGGAAATGAAATCTTGTAATAATCGACTATAAAAGCATGTTAGTTGTTAAAACTGAGTCAAGGTTAGGCTTCCAATACATAAACATGATTGATGAATGTGATTAATATGTAATCATGTTATCTGCATCATAGTCAGCTGATGTGGAATAAAATGGCTCAGCCAGCACAAGTTGGCAAGATTAGCGAAAGGACAGTATAGCAGGGAATACAGCTACGGTAAGTGTTAATTGGGTTGTATTTGTACTGGATGGTTATTGACTGTTTCTCAGCCTTTGTGTGCTGTATCCTCTTTTAAATTACTGAAAGCATTTCCTAACATAAAGCACTGGCAGCAAGTGAACTGCACAAAGGGACAAAGAAAAAGCAGCAAGCATTTCACTGAATATTATCCACACTGACAATGTGCCACAGTGAGTAGCACGAGAAAAACAGATACTGTGGCATGTGTCAGGTGCACCGCAGCACACCTGCGCTTTGTGCATGTTGGAGTTCAAGTGAAGCTCTTCAAATCCAGTCCAATACCTGCAGCCACTGACGCTTTTTTCTCTGTGTTTAATGTTGAAAATTGTAATGCAGAGCTATTCAGCTGTCAGACTCACCTCAGTATTGACAGGTACTAATAAACACTCAGATACAAATTCTTTAACTAGCTGAAATTGAACATCTTGCTGCAGGTAAATACAAAACAACAAAAAAACACCAAAAAAACATTTATCTTTCACTAAGGACTCTTAAGTTGAAGTCGTGTGTTGTGTTGCTTTCAGTGCCTGGAGCTCCTCCCAGGAAGGTGGAGGCAGAAGCCCTCAACTCCACTGCCCTCAGGGTGACCTGGAAGCCTCCCCTGTCTGTAAAGCAGCATGGCCAGATCAGAGGCTACCAGCTGGTCTACTCCAGGCTAGAGAAGGGGGAGCCTCACGGCCAGCCGCTCATCATGGACGTCGCCCTGCCTGATGCCCAGGTACTGTCACACTCTCACAGTTCAGCCCCATGTCGCTGTGATTTGTTTAACTTGCTGAGACGATGACCAAATAAGAGCTGAAGAAGGAGGAGTTTTGTTCAGATCTCAACATTCAGAGGGAAACACATTTCTCAGAATCTTAAAATCTTAGAAACATTTCTTAGTAGTAGAGGGGATAGTTAAGAAACCTTATATAGAAAAACAGATAGAAAGGACTACAATATACATTTGAGAGCTACATCCACCATATAATTTGAAATTGCATTAAGCAGAGCATCTATTGATAATTTATGTGCAGGGCAAACATACAGGAACAACAAACACAGCAGGGTAAGTCAATATATTATATTATTTCAAGCTAACATTTAGTTATGACTCCCCATAGCTAGCATCTAATAAATGTTTTAACTGTTTGTTAGCAAAAATGTGTGCCAGAATTTTGTTCCCACATTGTTATTTGAATTCAAATATTTTGCCTCATATTACATAAGTAATTTAAAATTAATATAAACCCTCTGAACCTCAAGCAGTTTCTGGGTGTTTTCTGCTCTCATCACATTTTCATACCGTGGGGGTTCACTTTTCACTGCAATATAAAATCCTGCATCTCTATGGAAACAGCACAGCCATGTCTAAAAGTAGAGAAAACTCAGAAATCTTCTGAGCAGTATAACAGTTATTATGCCATAAATAAACAAAAGTTACCAAAAAAAAAATCTACAATCAGCATGTATACATTTTCCAAAATGTCCACAAGTGTTACCAGTGCTGGAAGAATGGTGGCTCCTACATACTGTAGATATTTGACTACGTCCATTGTTCTTATTTGTTTCCATACTTGTCTCTCTGCTCTGTGTAAACACAGCCTGCAGTTCACCTGGAAACTCTTGGCACATGACTGTTAGTGACAGCTGAGTCAGTCATGGCAGATTTTTTTGTTTTTAATGGATTTTGTGCACGTGTTTTATTTTGTAGAAAAAAATTTGGCTGCTGTTCCTAGCACAAACTCACACCCTACATAATACTTTCAAGGACTTTTGTAAAGTTGAAAATCCAACAATTTATCTATTTTTACAGTTTCTAAGTTTTGATAAATGGAGTCATTTTGGCAAGTTTTTGAAAACATAACATGATTTTCTAACACACCGGCGGGTTTGGGGGTTCAGAGGGTTAAAGTACATTGTCAGGTGCAATTTAAAACACACAATGCAGAGTCTCATAAAACAAAATGTGCAAAACAATCAAAAGGAGAAATTAGTGATGATGCACTGTGAACTGTCTATATATTTAACTGAGTGGATGAATAACTGAATATGCAGCGAAGCACTTCACATACAGCCTGAGGAATTAAACAAGAGCCTCTACTTAATGGTCTGTCATTCAGCATCTGTGCACTGTTGGATGTTACCAAACAAGCAGCCAAATTTGCTCTCTAATAACGTTAAATGATGAAATTGATGCGAAAATGTGGATTCACTTAGTCCCGTGTGCTCATGATGCCCATTAATTAAGGCTTCAATGGCATAATAACTTTAAATATCCGTCTGTGTTGCAGAACGCAGCCGTTCTCCTCGCTGTCATGATGTTCGTAACTCACTGCCAATCGCTCTTTTGTCAAACCAGGTGTCAAATATCTCTGAATGACAAAAGTCTGTCACTCTAACAGACAGATGAAGCCTGCAGTGTTATGTATTCCATGTCTAAAAGCAACAAATGAAAGAAAAGGTAGTAAAGGACGCTTCTCCTTAAGAAGCATAACATTATTCATTGTATAGCATTAGGTCTCAGCAAAGGAGGATTAGTCATTCTAATCCTAATAAGTCGGATTAGGTCATTACTGATTCAACCATTTACACCTTAGCTATTAATAAATGTATGTGCATTCAGGAAAAAGACTCACAGTATATGTTTGATTTTGTTTTATTGTCTTTTTTTTTTTTCAAATGTGAAGAATCTCTGACTTTATTGCATACAGCTGGCACCTGTCCACCCCCGCATCTAAAATAAATCATCTCTTCCAGAAAAGCTTCAAAATAAGAAGAAAAGGATGAAACTGCAGCAGATACATAAATATAAAATAACCAAAAAAATAAAAAGCAAGCAACTCTGGAAACAGATTTAAATAAAATCCAAATGACACAACATAAAGGTGACTGAGATGATTAAATATTAAAAACATCAGCCTCCTATTTTAGGGTTGTCATTGACATCAAAATAAGCAGATTAGGGTGATTTTTTTAGATGCTGACGCTCTGTACAGAATGTGCCTTCAAAACTAATATGTGCAAATGATTTCTTATCTTCCCCTGAATCAGAAAAGGGATGAAACAGATTAGAATAGCTGTGTGTGGTCTGCAGCTTCCTGATGAAATTGCATTTGTCATTAGATCCAAATGCCATGGTATTTTTAAGATGCACTTCCACTGCCTTGTTATTCCATTAGAATAATTGCATTTCATGTTTGCCGGAGTTTTATTTTTATTCCAGCCTGCAGTCGTGGAAAAAAGCCACAAATGTGGAAGTGTGAATAATAGAAAAACACAGATAATCCTGCTTAGGAATGCAAACATATGCAGGTGATGTTTGTGTCTGAGGTAGTTCAGTACTTGACGTGTTTCCTCCACAATCTGAAATACAGAGAAATATTCAGAAAGTTGACTTGCTTTTTTCTAACAACGACAAGTATCAGCAGCAATAACACTGATGATACTTGACATTTGAAATCTTTGTTTTGCTAACACTTAACATGAAATGGTGCTTAGGCAGCTTCATGAGAGAAGTGTGACACATTAAGTGCATCATAAAATAACTGGCCTCTACACACTCTGACATATAATAAAGTCCTTCAAAAATATGTGCCCTTATTAAAAGAACAACAGCTTTACAAATAGGCTATTAAATGTCAATATGCAGTGAGCATATGTCCCAGAGTTTTTCATTTATAGCAAATATGTGTGTGTGGATGGATGAGAGTGTTGACAAAATTTGTATTAACAGTGAAGCTTCTATTCATTTTTCTCCATGAGACAGCATTAGACAATGCAGATTTGGATCTACATGATGAAAAGTCATGCTGCATTAGCTACTAGTAGTTCTTTTTTTGCAATGAAACCACAAATGTACAGAGAACTGCCACAGAGCGACTGCTGATCCTCGAGAGACAAGAGATTCAAGAGCTTTAGAGACAACATTTTATTTTGATGATTTTTATTTCGATTTATAGATGTTTTTCCATGTTCGGCTCAGATATTTTGACTTTGAATGGTACGTGGGGACAAGTCAGTAAATTTGGAGAATTGAGTATCTAAAGTATCTATAGAAAAACTTTGCTGTTGTAAAGCAGCAAATGTGTTGGTCCCAGTAACAGCTGCTGGTGTTATGAGATTTTAGATGTATGTGAATCAGCCTTTGAGTGGAGGAAAGTTTGAATATTCAAACCTCTTCGCAAATATGCTTCCATGTGATTATCAATTAAATTTATAGCAAACTTTTGAAAGGTAGCCAAAAAACAAAACATGACTCAGACTTGTCTTTATTAACTGCTTTGGAGCGAATAAGTGAGACTGTGTAGTGTCATCAATAATTGAAGAAGCTGGAAACAAAACCAGTTGTTTGCCAACCGCCAAAAGACTACGAAGGAAATAAAACGAGCAAGACTTTAGCCATCTACAAGAGAAAAATTAAATTGAACCTTCACTCTTTGTGTTCACTTAGTAATATTGTATTTATCAGCCGTGTTTTATACTCTCTGGAGGCGAAAGAAATAAAAAAAAAATGCTGATCAGTCATAAATTAAATGTTCATTATGTCAAAACGTATTTACAAAAGGTGTTTTCATTTCCCATGATGCTCATTAACTCTCCTTAGAAAAAGTCCAACACCTCCTAATGCAGGCATTAAAACTTTGTTGTGAATTTGAAGTTTTTGGAATGTTGCCATTCCTATCAACCTTAGATGAGATACTTCAAAATGTGCCTAAAATACATTATGGAAAAATGGCTGCTGTGATGGTTATTTAAGAGCCCATATTCTGCTTTTGTGTGTCCTTTCCTCCACTGTTCTGTATTCTGTGCAATGTAAAATTAGAAAGCTGTGAATGTGCAGAATATGGGTTTATTTGAAGCTTCTTCTCCAGGATGTCTGAGAGAAATAGTATTATAAGCAGTTTTTCATGTTGTAATTTTATGTAGTGGTGGGATCCTTTAGTTTTATCTTGTATGCTCAGTGTGTTTTGGATTCTTGCCCTGAATTGCTTTTCATGTTTCCTATGTCCAGTAATCTTAACATACAGATCACTGAGGTGCTGTTAGAGGTGGACCTTGAAAATGATAAAGAGCTTTTTAGGTGTTGCTTTGATAAAGGTATGTTTGCTGAGACACACTGCGCGGTGTATTGAGGTTTACAAGTGATGATTGTTAGTTGTAGACATCAGACAGTGACAAGTTAACACAATCAACCATAAGCAGCATGGCTAAGAAAGAGATAAGAGCGACACCTACAATATTTCAACAGAGAAAAAAAAAGAGTGTTGTGGATTAACAGCAGCAAGAGTAAGCACTTGAGAGCCTGCTGGAGCGGAAGTCAAAGGGTGAATGTTTAAAAGCCCTCGGTGAGGTGGTGCTCAGCTTCTTCCCTCTCAGCTTGTTTTGTTCTCCAGAAGCAGCGTCTCACCTGATTTCCTTTGTAAGCAGCATTCCTGTCTTATCTGTGCAAGGCAGGAGGCCTGATAAAGGGCCTGCATCTCACAACCCATCTTCAACCTCTCTCCGAACACACACACACACACACACTCTCACACACACACTTCTCACACACACACTTCTCACACACACACATACACACACACACCTGCTGAGGGGACTTTTCTTGAAGGAACTGTCTTCAAGCCTCATCTGTGATAAGTTTAGTCTGTCCCTCTGGCATCAGTGATGGTGATGAGAATCAACACATGGTCTGTGGAGTGATCCTCTGCCCCACACACACACTATACACACACACAC